GGTTAGGTATGTGATGGTTAGTTAGGCTGTAGAAAATGAATGGAAGTCAATGTAAAGTTCCCACAAGACATGAAAACACGACTGTGTGTGTGCATATGTGTTTTTAACCTGGGGCCTGTAGGACTGCTGATGCAGGTGGACTGATGCTGACAAGGATTTCTACCTGGAGAACAAACATCATCCTCCTCTTCACAAAGCAGTCCTTGGAACAAGAAGCAACAAACAAGGATTAATTAAAAAACAGAGTGCAGATCTTTTTTCAGACATCCAGATTACTTTTCTCTGACTAGTTGATTTGAAAGGTACTACGGCGTACCTCTGTAGTTAGGAGGACACAAGCAGGTGTAGTTGCCGACTCCATCAACACAGGTGGCGCCATTGTCACATCCGTGATCCTCGCAGTCGTCCACGTTGACCTCGCAAAATGTGCCATGGAAACCAAATGCACACGCGCAGCTAAGAGGGTAAAAAACAAATACAAGTTAAAAAAAAAAATAACTTGTACAAAATGTAAAAAAAAACAACATTCATCTGGTTGGGCAGTGCACGCCTCCTCTGACCCTTAAAAAATATTTCTCACCATTGTCATAAATGTAATTAAATAAGCAAATATGCAAAAGTTTTAAATTGTACAAATGCCTTATGATATCTACAGTAACTGGACATAGTTATTATAAAGTTTTATGGTTCTCAAGTAGCGCTTAAAATGCAAAACCACAAAAAATACATAGTGAATACAGATGGCTGAGTAAAAAACAGATTGATGACAAGAAAGGAAGAGTTTTGGAAGAAAATTAAGCAGTTGAACATTTTTTAGATAAGGAAATTCGGCATAACATCCATACAGAAAGCACTATTAATATTATTTTATAGATAGATAGATAGATAGATAGATAGATAGATAGATAGATAGATAGATAGATAGATAGATAGATAGATAGATAGATAGATAGATAGATAGATAGTGGCTTTGCTGGTTTTGTTTACTGCTAACCACAACGATGCTACCTGAAGCCTCCTGTCTGCTCGTCTCTCAGGCAGCTTCCTCCATTGGTGCAGGGATTGCTGACACAAGCATCGACTGGAGTCTCGCAGTGTTTACCCTGTACGCCCGGAAAACACAGTAAGTCTGAAAGATCAGCCCATCTGAAGAACGGGTTAGTAAGACAGGTATCCGCTAAAAACAATATCCAAGACCTGTACAGGTCCAGGGGTGTCAAACTTGTTTTCATTTTGACCCGTATTAACACAATTAATGTATTGATAAAACCCATTGACAAGTTGTTAAAATATTAATAAATAGCTGTCTCTACATTCAATCAGTACTTATTGAAATAAAAAATATGGAACATCTTTTCAAACTGAAAGAAAAATGTGCAAAGATGCAACAGCGTATTAGGGCCTCTGCAGATGGTAAAAAATGAATCTCCGCCAAAACATTTCGAGATTAAACTCAGAAATATTCTAGAAACTCAGAAAATTTCAGAAATTTCTGAATTTAAAAAGTCACAAATGTTTTAGAAAAATTAATTTTGACATTAATCTCAAAATGTCTTAATTTTTTTTCAGCAAATATTTGACTTTTGAAGTTCAGAAATGTCTGTTTTTTTCTGGTCTTAAACTATTACATTTCTGAGTTTTTGGACAGATATTTACTCCTTCTCTTCTGTCTAACTACAGTTCTGCTTTGTCATAAAAAGCAGCTTTAATTTCACTGATTTACAATTTCTTTTAAACACAAGGGCTTTTTAAAGGCTATTTTGACGCCTCCCTCAGAGTCAACAGGGTCACATAGACAGCTACGGCAGGCCGGATTTGGTCCCCGGACCTTAAGTTTGACATATATACTCTACAGTTTACACTTAATGTCATGAAACTAAAGTCAGATTCCTAGTTTGTGAACAATCTTCACCAAAACAGCTGATTCTGACAGTCAGGAAACATGCACATGCAAGATGGCGGACGTTGGGTTGATTGTATCCCATCATTTCCTCTAAATCCCACCTTTACGTTTAGATTCATACCGTAAAACCCGACTTGCAGGCGCAGGTGTACTGCTGGGATTGGTGGATTTGGCAGGTTCCCTGGTTCTGGCAAGGGGAGGAAACGCATGGAGTGCATTTGGCCTGAACAGAAATGTCCACTGGACCTGTACACACACATAGGCAGAATTTGGTTTGCTAGCATAGCACCTTTCAACGCACTCAAGTGGCATTACATTATGAGAGAAACATAACAACCACTCCAAAGAAAATTGTGCATCATAATATGCAGACCTATCATTGTTCAGTTAATCAGGCGTTTTATTTTTTGATATGCAAATCTTGCTGAAATTATTATTTTAGCGTAACAAGAACCCTATGATTTGGATTCTTGTTGTTTCTCTGGTATATTATTTAAATTTATAAAGTGATTTCCCCCCTCTTTCCACATGTGATTGCTCTCCTCCTCCTTATTTTTGTTTTTCAGGTTTTGGCTCAGAGGCAACCCTCATCTGAAACTGACAGACGGCGCAATCACTTCATAGCTCTGCTGCTTGTGGATCTGAGGAACACGTCAGTCACAGGAAGAAGTGACTGGCAGGTATGCAATATAGGCTAATGGAGAAAAACAGAATACAAATGCTTCCTGTAAGGCGATGTGTGGTTGAGGTGGACAGATGACAGGCTGATCCTTTGAAACATAAATAATCATAAAACACAAACAATGGCATAGATGGAAAATACTGGAGGCAGGAAAACCTGGATCTCATGATTATAATGCTAAGGATGAAATTTATTAGAGTGATAATTAGTCGGCTAGTAATGTTATGATTCGCTTTGTTATTGTTTACAATAATTTGACAAATTAAATTGCTGCTTGACTGCAAATTACCAAAGGCAGCAACGTTTCCAACTGTGTTTGAAACTCTGAAGACGAGATCACTAGAGGGCGCTGTGACTGATGAACAGTGGAAAGCCACTGGCATAAACGTGGGCACATATGAAAAGAAAAGTGATTATGGTTAGAAAAGAGCATTACAAAAGAAAACTGAGAATAAATGACTAATTCCTTTCTCTTTTTGTCAGCTGCTACCATTAGGGGGCGCCACAGTAGAACAACTACTCCCTCTCGCTCTGTTTCAGGAACCCCGTCCAAAACGTTTTCTATTTCAGACTTTAAACTGACCTTCTGATAATCTAATTTATAATCCCATGTGTTTGTTCAATCCCAATGAAAATCTTAATATCTGCATGTTCCTCCAAATCAGTCATATTTGTATTATCTCTGACTAGATAATTTTTTTTAATTCTAATTATTTCTTCTCCAAATGATCACAAATATAATGTAATAATAAAAATACATTTAGTGTTTTCAACAAAAAATACAAAAATATCTAAAAATGACTAAGGGAGATTTTTAAATCCTGTACTTTAACTGTACATAAATATAAACTATTCTGCTAACTAAGTAATGAATAAAAAAAATGGCAATATACTTAAATGGAGTCCTGTAATTTGGTATGAATATTAGAGATTATATTTCAAGGTCATTATAAAACATTTCAGAAGGGCATATTATGTAAAAAAAAATATATATATATATATACATATACACACACACACACATATATATATATATATATATATATATATATATATATATATATATATATATATATATTATCAGAATTATTTAAACATGATGGGAAACAGATAGAAAAATAAGGGATATTTTCAATGAAATATGTGATATTTGTTAAATTAGTTAATTTGCTAATAATTTGTTTGTATACTAGAAAAAATGCTAGACGTAGAACAAGGTAAAACAGAAATAAATAAATTTTGCTCTCCGGGTCCAAAAACTAAAGTGCTTAAAACTCATAAATCAATCATGATGAGTAATCCTGAATTTAAAAATGACAAAAATAAGCATCCATTATGATTTTTGCTGCACTGGAGCTGCTGTAAAATACCCTTTTTTTCTTTCACTGCCATTTTCTTTGGCCAAATAGCCTGGATGTTGTGTTGAATGTTAAAACTTGGTACAGAACAAACACAAAAAGGTTTTTTAAGAATAACACAGAGGCACGAGGAACTATTCAAATCTAAGGTAAATTATTGAGCAGATCATACATCATTCAGTTTCAAGTTACTTAAAAAAAGGTTGAATGGATGTTGGATAAATTAAATAGCATAGCAGTGTTTCAATGTTTTAGGAGAATACATACAGCATATGTAAAGAAGGATCAAATAGCTTCTCAAAAGAGCTGGTTTTGTTAGTAAAACCTCATTGCACTGCATGTCGTTTTAAATGTTTTATAAAAAATAGCTTGCAGAGCAGTGCCGCATAACATCCACCTTCAGTAAATTCTGGTTTAATGTGTGTACATAGGCGATTTTCTGCAGATTTCTGTAGATTAGATCCGTCTGCACTGCGGTGTCTGGAGCTGAGAGTGTGTGGGAGTAGCAGCCACCAACTCCTCTACTGAGCCACACCAACTAAAAACATTTCATTAGATCGTTCATTAGGAGGCGTTTCCACATGCAGGATTATTAGCTTAGAACATAAAAACCCACCAAAACTGGTCTAGGAAGTTAATCTTTGATTTGGTTCTGCTGAACAAGAATGAGACTTTTAGGTGATGTGGATATGTTTAAAACAATACGTTAGGTCAAACAGTCCAAATCAAGCTGGAAGAAAATGCACAGAGGGAGAAAGATAAAAACAAATGTGTGGTATAAAACACACAGAGGTGGGCAGAGGACCCAAAAATATCACTCAAGTAAAAGCAGTACTACTTCAACATATGTTTACTCAAGTAAAAGTAAAAAGTGTTTGGTAAAAAGTCTACTGAAGTACTGCGTAACATTTCAAATGATCAATCATTTAATATTTAAAAATTACATAATCAGACGGACCAAAATGTAAAGTTATGTTGAAACCTCTGAGCATTTTGGGATGAAAAGAACCAAAATGACAATAACTTATATAAGTAACAAAAACTAACAAAATCATGCAAAAGAAAAATTTTCCAAATAAGTTTCATTTATGAAACTTTAACAAAAACTGCAGGTGTGTCTCTGTGGTGAATTTTTGTTTTTCATTCAGTGGGTAGAGAATCCAAACATTTTACTTAAGAATAGAAATACTTCATAATAAAATTACTCAAGTAAAGTAGAAACTACAGCGCAGTAAAAATGCTCCTAAAAGTAAAATGTTTCAATCAAATTGTAACGAGCTTCTACCAAACTTTGAAAACATGTATTTAATCGCTCCTGGTTTAATTGCAGCCTTTACATGCATGCAGAGGCGCTTCCTGTTCGCTCACCCAGACACTGGAACTTGTCAGCAGGTGTGGTGAGCAGCAGCTTGCCCTCCAGGCCCCGGGGGCCGGCGCAGCGCGCGATGCCCGGCTCCTTATAGCCGCTCTTCACCCAGTCTGACAGCCAGAGCAGCCGGCAGTCACAGTACAGAGGGTTGGCTCCGATTGCTCTGAACAAACAGCAAGACAAGGAGGATGATGAGACACTAATACGAGAAGGAGGTCAAAAAGGAAGCGGGGTTTTCTTTGTCTGCACTGATATGAAGGTTAATTTAAGCTCCATCTGCACAGACAAAGATACAAAACAGATCTGCTGCGAACACTGAAGGAGCTAAGCATGCTCAAGCAGAATAGTGTGTAAACGGCCTCTTGAATCCAAAATGTAAGCTCCTGATTTTTGGCATTTGAATTCTCCCATAGACCTTATTGTTGAAGTTAAATTTCTAACACTGACTTCACTGCAAAACCACAGAATCTTACCACCCAATTTTGGTCTAGTTTCTAGAGAAAATTCCTCAATATTTTAAATAAGATAAACTTACTTAAAAGCAACTTTTCAGCGAAATATAGTCGCTTGTTTTAAGTAAATAATTCCGTAATATTGATGAAAATGTTCCATTGGCAGATTATTTCACTTGTAATGTCAGAAAAATGTCTAAGGTGAAATAAGCTGCCAATGGAACAAATACTGAATTATTTACTTAAAACAAGTCTCGACGTCTTGCTTAAAAGTTACTTTTAAGTCAGTTTTGCACCTTTTAAGGTTATTTCAACCTTTATGAAAAGGCTGAAATAAGACATGTAACTTATTTTTGTACAGCTGGATGTAAATTCAGGCACTGATGTGATATACGAGATAAAACATAGATCCTCTGTTGTCTGCAGAGATATTGGTATTATATTCCATTGCAAACAAATTTACAAAAATAAATATTTTGCAGTTTTACCAAGTTGTAATTATTGGAGCCTTTGGGTTTATTAGCTCAGTCTCAGCAGGCTTTCAAAAACCATAATAACGAAAAAGTTTCCCACTCCTGATCTACAGAGACTGAGAAAGGACCAATAGTGAAAATCCTGCTAGACATCTTTACAGGCGGCTCAACAACTGAATGCATGTGCAACATGTGCAGCACTTACAGGTGAGACAGGGAGGCCAGGTCACTGAAGATTCCCTGCTGCAGCTCAGAGATGTCATTGCCATGGAGAGAGCTGAGAGACAGAAACAGTTATAGGCCAGAAAAGGTTCTGAGCATTCAAAGTGAACTCTCGCTGAGCACAATGACTCTGACGGGCAGGAAGTCTCACGCAGCACAAAAAACAAACGACAGCTTGGAATAAAGGAAAGGCGCTGCATACTGATGCTGTGTGTGTGTGTGTGTGTGTGTGTGTGTGTGTGTGTGTGTGT